GTGATAGTGACTGCCATAAATAGCATGCTTACGCTACCATGAGGCTATTTTGCTTGTGTGATATAACTGCCTGAATGCCTTTGGGTGAAGGTTGGGTTACTTGATTAGAATAAATCATCAACTGTTTGTTTTAAGCCACTAGATAGTGGCAAACCATCTTTTCTAGGCCCACCCCGAGGGTGCAAATCTGCATTTAAGCCTACCTGCGGTAGCAAACCATTTTCAAAAAGCGAACATGAAATGTTTTGTTTTCCAATTCCAGGCGATCCGAGTCTATACTTGTATGTTCGTTGCCATCACATAGTAACTAGGCTAATAACCGGAATAAGAACACATGTTTCAAAACTAATATCATGTTAGTAGGCCGATCTCTTGATCGGCGAGGGGTGCTCACGAAGTGACCTTCCCCAATCGTACCCAAGTTCCGAGCCGAGGCAACTTTGTGATGACGGACACGTGGCCTTCGCACCGAGTCAGGGTTTCCTAAATTTCCATTAAAAAAATTTAGTGAGCGACTCGTATCTGCAAGCATCCCATCTGTTGGCATTCTTATCAAAATCTGTTTTTTTTCTCAAAACGATTTGCTGGATTTGGACTCTTTGGTTCAGACTTAGAACCGTGACAATTTGAGAGTCCTGAGCTGTAGTGACCCCAAAATGAACAGAACGGGAGCTCACCCTCCCGGGGCGTTCGGGGACGTCTACAATAGGGTGAGCCACAGCCCACTAGAAATAATCTAACACAATATATGAGATTTAACAAAGGTATAAGTACAATATGCATAAACAATGCCTGTGATAAAACATTCACATTTTATATAGTCATAAGGTACCAAATTCAAATCTTAATCCATTTCCATTCAATTCATTTCAATGCATGAGTCAATTTCATTATTTCTCAATAACCCAAATGAGACTACAACTCAATGGTTCAACGATCACATCATTAACACACAAACATTTCAATCTGCCATTTTACGAATATTTCATCCGTGGGATCAGCACCCATGTATAAATTTCGGGACTTTCACCCAGGACACTCCAGCCAACTTAATTATAATGGAGTCCATCCCCTTTCTCCTTCCAAACAATCATACATATGCAATGTATTTAAACACATAATCATGCATAGAGTACATCACCTTTCTCCTCCCACACAATCATACATATGCAATGTATTTACAACATGATCATATTCAATGATAACCAACAGTGGATTAGTTTTAATTCACCTAATCCTTATGCAATTTCTATAACAATCATAGCTATTCTCCATCGATAGCCCAATACAGTTATTTCTAAACAGATAACCAATCTCAAGATATATATATATATGTATTATTTAAAATTTTCAAAGATGAGGCGTATCATCTACTCAATTCCACCATATGGCTCAATACTCGTTTAATTTCATGTTTACAATATCAATTTCATTTATTTATACAAAATAAATATCATAATCATTTTAGGGCAAACTCCTTGTTTTCCCAAATATCAACCAAGCACCAAAATCAACAATTTTGACACCATACAACATCATTTTCAAACCCCACAATCATTTTCTTCTCATTCACCAAAAACCCGTCTTTCCATTTTACCCCCAAACCCTAGGTTTGTTCACATTACCCCCAAATCCCACCATTGTTACACAACGACAAATAACTAAGTTAAAAACCATATTAAAGTGTAGAAAATCCCTACCTCAAGAAGAAAAGACCAAGCAAAGCAAAGTAAAATCCTCAACAACGTCGAGACCACGTTCCAATCCGATCAAAATGAAGCTCTTGGAATGCTCTAACTTTTT